ATGGAGTGCGAAGTGCGAAGTGAGAAGTGTGAAGTGTGAGTTTTGGAGTGTGAAGTTTGGAGTGGGAAGGAAGCAGTGAGAAGTGAGAAGTGTGAAGTGTGGAGTGTGAAGTGTGGAGTGTGAAGTGCGAAGTGAGAAGTGTGAAGTTAGGAGTGTGAAGGAAGCAGTGAGAAGTGAGGAGTGTGAAGTGCGAAGTGAGAAGTGTGAAGTGTGAAGTGTGAAGTTTGGAGTGTGAAGGAAGCAGTGAGAAGTGAGAAGTGTGAAATGTGGAGTGTGAAGTGTGAAATGCGAAGTGAGAAGTGTGGACTGTGAAGTGTGAAGTGTGAAGTGTGGACTGTGAAGTGCGAAGTGTGAAGTGTGGACTGTGAAGTGTGAAGTGTGAAGTGTGGACTGTGAAGTGTGGAGTGTGAAGTGCGAAGTGAGAAGTGTGAAGTTTGGAGTGTGAAGGAAGCAGTGAGAAGTGAGAAGTGTGAAGTGAGAAGTGTGAAGTGTGGACGGTGAAGTGTGGGAAGTGACGAAGAGCGCAGTGTGAAGTGTGAAGTGTGAAGTGTGAGGTTTGGAGTGTGAAGGAAGCAGTGAGAAGTGAGAAGTGTGAAGTGTGAGTGAAGTGCGGAGTGTGAAGTGCGAAGTGAGAAGTGAGAAGTGTGAAGTTTGGAGTGTGAAGTTTTGAGTGGGAAGGAAGCAGTGAGAAGTGAGAAGTGTGAAGTGTGGACTGTGAAGTGTGGAGTGTGAAGTGCGAAGTGAGAAGTGTGAAGTTTGGAGTGTGAAGGAAGCAGTGAGAAGTGAGAAGTGTGAAGTGAGAAGTGTGAAGTGTGGACTGTGAAGTGTGGAGTGAGAAGAGCGCAGCGTGAAGTGTGAAGTGTGAAGTGTGAGGTTTGGAGTGTGAAGGAAGCAGTGAGAAGTGTGAAGTGTGGACTGTGAAGTGTGAAGTGTGAGTGAAGTGTGGAGTGCGAAGTGCCAAGTGAGAAGTGTGAAGTGTGAGTTTTGGAGTGTGAAGTTTGGAGTGGGAAGGAAGCAGTGAGAAGTGAGAAGTGTGAAGTGTGGAGTGTGAAGTGTGGAGTGTGAAGTGCGAAGTGAGAAGTGTGAAGTTAGGAGTGTGAAGAAAGCAGTGAGAAGTGAGAAGTGTGAAGTGCGAAGTGAGAAGTGTGAAGTGTGAAGTTTGGAGTGTGAAGGAAGCAGTGAGAAGTGAGAAGTGTGAAATGTGGAGTGTGAAGTGTGAAATGCGAAGTGAGAAGTGTGGACTGTGAAGTGTGAAGCGTGAAGTATGGACTGTGAAGTACGAAGTGTGAAGTGTGGACTGTGAAGTGTGAAGTGTGAAGTGTGGACTGTGAAGTGTGAAGTGTGAAGTGTGGACTGTGAAGTGTGAAGTGTGCAGTGTGAAGTGTGGACTGTGAAGTGTGAAGTGTGCAGTGTGAAGTGTGAAGTGTGAAGTGTGAGGTTTGGAGTGTGAAGGAAGCAGTGAGAAGTGAGAAGTGTGGAGTGTGAAGTTTGAAGTTTGGAGTGCGAAGAGTGCAGTGTGCAGTGTGAGGTGTGGAGTGTCGAGGGAAGGACACGGTCGGGACAGGGTGTCTTTGAACTATAGGTCATTTATGTTTGGGAAACTTCCGCCGCCGGCTTGCCCGGGTCTATGTTAATTGATAAATTGCTCTAACTGTGGATTTAGCCAGCTATAATATATTTCAATTAATCTGGAAAAATGTTGATTTAAGATGATTGAGTCATTAAAGATGGTGGTAGAATGAAGATGTAATGGGATATATTAGAGATGATTTGGATGAAAAACTGATCACGGCCGAATCCGAAAAGAGACCTCGCTGGAATTTTGTGGAATTGCAGGGATAACTATCCCTTAAAATAGCCGAACTTATCAGATTAGTGAATTGTTATAGTATTAGTTTGCACATATCTTAAAACATCTTAATGCTCCCCCCTCCATTTTTCCATGGGTAAATAAAATATAATGATGGCTTTCCTGAAAAGAACTGTTTCGTAGTCTTTTCCAATCTTTCCATGTGACTTACACATGGACATGTTCAGTGGGATGCTTCCAACATATTAGGAAATGGATATGAAACTACAAGGTGGGGCCCCCAGTTATAAGTTGGTTTATAAAGCCCATTGACTATACCCTATTGAAAATGGCCCATAGAAATAGTTGATTTACGCTATAAAATGGTGATTTTCCATAGCTTTTTGTTACCAAAGGGTAGTTCCTATTGTTGTTTCTACCATAAACCATAGAATTCACCCTGTTACACCAACTCAGCTATCATTTGGGGGGCGGCATGGTATTTACCACAAAGCAGAGAATTCAGCTAGTTATGTTGACCCGATTTTGTGGCTTCCCACCTCTCAGGTGTCGTCTGGGATGTGCCTATCTGGACATCGCAATTTGGAGTGCGCTGCTGCGCTCCGAAAAAAACCGGGGCACTTGGCAGATACCCGGCCTGGTAAACGTTACCACATAACGAACTGGAAAGATCCACCATTTTCGAGCGTAAATCCACTATTTCGACTGGGCCATTTTCAATAGCAAACTGTTTGTTTACCAGAGGGTAGATTGAATGGATTAAATGGATTGATTACAGGAACAAACGCAGAAAAAATGACGAACAACTGACAACAATGGTTTTTACTATGGAGATGTCCTGTTTTTTTTGGTGACGAAGTAGAAAATGGAGCATAAGCACCAGTTTCCTTTTAGGAGACTCGCTAACCATAACGGGCTTGGTTTATGGTCGATATCCTGGAGGAGCTAACCATAACGCAAGAAAGTGATGGATTTCGAGATGTGAGCCCCTGGAAAAACTGGAAAAACTGCCCGCGGACACCCCGATATCTATCTAACACATCAGGGTGAAACGGATATTTCCTGCAAGTTGCCCGTGAAATTCATCGGGGATGTCAAAATATGTCAATTCATTTCAGAAATTGGAACCAATAAGTTCCAGAATTGCAGGTAGATTGCAGGAAACTCCAGAATATTTGGCTGTAAGAACTGAACCGCCGAACCGTGGGTTTCCTTCAACATGTTCTCTTGAATCAATCCATTTGGCGGTTTCACATCCTATCGTATCCCTATTGCAGTTGTTGGTTGGGTGTGTCTGGACGTAGAGGTACACCAAAATTGCCACCTTACTATAGACAATGACAATTGAGATATCTGGGGGGTTCCGTAAATGGGGGTACCCCCATATACTCCAAAATTAGACCATTTGGGTCTGGAAACCTCAATGTTTTGGGGATCCCCCATTCTAGGAAACCCCCACAATATGAATATATATATATATATATGTATAGTATATATAATATTACATCATATATATATACATATATATAATAATAATAATAGTAATAATAATCATCATCATCATCGACCACGGGATTTATGGGTATCCCTTTTTTGAAGCATCATAAACCCATATGGGTCCCATCTTCGCTTTTCCAGAGCTGAGCCCCGAAGCTCCAGGTACCAGAGGCGCCTGTCCTTTCTATCTCTCTATGCCTCGTATGCGGTGCTGAAGGACGCCCCTTCTGCCGTAGAAACCGAAAAGAGCCGGCATTGACTGATGATTTGCTACATGGAAAATCACCATGATTAATGGGAAAATCAACTATAGATGGTCATTTTCAATAGCTATGTTAAATTACCAGAGAGTAAATCATATAAAATATGGTTAATATGGGCATAGTGGGTTTTATTCGCATCAAACATAGTGAAGGTATAATTGAGATGATTGCTTGATGACTTGTGATTAAACTGTGTGATACATATATACTGGTTGGTGGTTTGGAACACAAATTTTATTGTTCCATCTATTGGGAATAATTTTCCCAACTGACGAACTCATATTTTTCAGAGGGGTTGAAACCACCAACCAGATAGTTCTATGTACCATAAACCATAGTTAAACCACCTATAAGGCAACTTAGCTATCCTGGGGGCCCCATCCTGTAGTGAACTGGAAATTTTGAAGACTCAAAATGTTAGAAATTGACTCCCCAATTTGTTTGAACGCCAACCCACTTTGGATCACTTTGGGTTGGTATCTCCTTTTTCATAATAACCTCTCAAAAAACGAAATGAAGAAAGTATAATAATAACTATCATAACCGCAATAACTATCCCGGATTGGATTTTCCGGTTGCTAATAACTATCCCTTTGATTCCCTTTGGATTTTCTGTTAGTTGGAATGGATTCATTATTGTTTTCTATTTATTCATGGATTCATTATTATTCATTCTTATTATTCCTTTGGTTGCTGTTGCTGTAGTTTTTGGACGTGATCTTTTGCAATTCCAGCCATGATCCCCAGTTGATTGACAGGCTGACGTTTGGTGTCCAGCGAGTTCCCAACGTAAAGCTTCACCTTGTCCTGCCAGTTTGCATACAGAATCTGTGAAGGATCTTCCCAAATGGATCCAAATGCCCAAATGCTGGATATCCCCATCCCAGTTCTGTGCACGGTTTTGACCCGGCTTGACCTGGACAGTTACATCATATCATATCTGGTTGGTGATTTCAAACATTTGTTATTTTCCATCATATATGGGATGTCATCCTTCCCATTGACGAACTCATATTTTTCAAGATGGTTATTGCACCACCAACCAGGTATCCATCGATGAGGATGAGGATGAGCCAACCATTCTATTCCCACCAAGCATGGAAAACCGGATGGAGAGTGTCTAATCACAATACAAGATCACCTCCTTGGGACTGATGTGGTAAACCCAACAACAAACCATGCCATTATGTAACCAACCATCACTGGAGGTCATTTTACATCATCCCATTTTTTGGGGTATACCCAATAATTAATCAATATCGATTGGGGATGGTTTATTTATCCCATAATCTTCCATGATTATCCCACTATTCTCCCATATCAATTCATATTCTCCTATGAATCTCCTATATCCCATTACTATTGGCTTTCCCAGATTAAGAGACAGATGCATAGACAGTAGCCTGTGCAGTGGGGATTCCCCACAGGACATGGAAGTCTCTGACCCTCTGGTGATCGAAGAGAGTGGCCACCTCGGGCTGCCAAGTGGGGCCAGGATGGCGACATGGCCAAGGTGGTTGGCATAGCTCGCTACAAGAATTGGATCATTTTGGTATATAGCATGCTTTAAGATGCTTTAAGTCAACCTTCAAACTTCAAGCCACAAACACATTGATTGCGCCATAAGACCTATGTGATGGGTTTCCGCGCTCCACTCTAATCAAAGATGAGACACCAAAATGGCCGGTCAAAATTAAGAACCCCCAGAAACGATTGAACAACATCACCAAGGTACTCTTGGGTCGGGTCTTCAGGTCCCAATCCCCTCGGTTGCTCCTAAGGTTGCAGTCCACGGTCGAGTGTCCGAAGCATCAACTCCAACATGAAGGTCCAAACCTGTCTGTGTTGAAAGAGAAGTCACTTTAGAAACCCGGCACCCTAAAGGTTGAACAAAGAAAGCCCTGGAAAACCTCTAAACTTGTTGCAGAAGTGTTGGGTTTCCGATTTGCTCCACGTCCAAATTGCTTTGCCTCGCCTCTGTTTGAAAAGACACTTGTGTAGTCTTCTGTGCTATTTGACTTGCCATTGATCTTGGGTGAGCCAAGGAGCTATCGGGATTCCTACTTTCCCTCGTAAATCGAGCTCACAAGAACCTCCATAAAATGTGAACAACGACCACCAGTTTCTCTTGAGCAGCTGAAGTTTTGAGATATTTGGGCTTCAGATTTTCACGGCTCTTGACCTGATGCTCCCAAGGTATCGCTAGATATGCCAAGATAGTCAGGTGCATTTTTCTCATAAGCTGCTTGTCCCATGGTGTATGGCGGATTTATCCTTCTTGGCCAACGGCCTGCAACGGCCTTTCTTGCTCGCTCACAATTCCTATTGTGTCTCCAAACGGGGATTCCTTGCGTTGGTAGCCATTTTCTTGAGTACTGCAGTTTTTTCTTTGTGATTGCAAGGGTTTGTTACTTTACAATCCCTACTTCACCTGACTGGCGAGCCCATTCACAGGTTTTAACCAGCAACCAGCTGGATCAAGAAATGCATCCTCACATTAGGCTAGTTGAATTTCCCATATGACCCAGCCAGAAAGTTCGTCTGAAAATCGGAATCCCTATCAGGTAGCTGTAGCCAAATAACATCCTTTTCCTTGGTTGTTGAAATATCCGACTAGTTCAATGAATTTACCCTGAATCAGATGCTGGGTTGGTATTTGTGGATTATTTGCAGTAGACCGTGGTTTTGTTTCCATCGGCCATTGACATGTTTTTTGCCACCAACCAGCCAGGATTCTGATTGAAATCGGCAACTTCTCTTGGTCAAGATCTGCGAAATCTAACCTCCAGAAATCTAATCTGCATTGAATCATCACCTGTTGAACTTTTGATCACCAGTGCTCCTCGAAACTGATTCCTATCATTGGATGATGGGTTTGTCTGACAATTGTGTACCCCCAAATCTTGATGGTTTATCATATCCCTTCTTCTTTACTTACTATAACTGGGGTATACGGTATACCATATTTTTATATACTTTTCGACACACCCAAATCAATCCGTTCATTTAAATTAATCCATTGATTGTCAAGTTTGGTGATTAAGTCCCATCAAAAAAACACATGAATTAAATCCCTTTGGTCAATGGTAAAATCCCATCTTGATTAGTTCCTTGGCATTTCTTCGCCAGGCGCAAAGTAAAGGCCCCGAGACGCGCCTGGCACGACTGAAGCGAGGAACCAAATTGTCAGGATGCCCCAGAAAATTACGGAAAATTAGGTCATGAAATGTTTGCACAATAAATCCCTATGAACATAATATAGCTATTCTCTGGATATCTCCGGTTTTCAATATTCATTTACTGTAACCATATAACTATTCATTATATTAACAAACATATATATATATTATATTATTATATTACATTATCGTACACTATCAACATAACTTACCAAAAGGATCACAATAAATCCACCCCTATAAATCCTACATCAAATCCGGGTTGTGTTGTTGGTTAAACCCTAAACGGGTTGCTCCCATGGTCCAAAGCTATCGGGAGTTCACAGACAACTGTCGGTTCATATGGGGATTTTAAACCATTTAACCTCTGGTAAAATGTTAACAGTTTGCGACGTTGACGCCATGGCCCAGTGAAAATCAGATTGGATCTACCCATTTCATGGATCATAATGGTGATTTTCGAGTTCGTTATGTGGCAGTTTAGCGATTTTCGGGTATCAGGGTTGCTTCAAGCAAGGGCAAATCATGTCCCTAGATTTGGCCACAAGTCTATCCCTATGATTTGCCATTCCACCATGGTCCATGGATCCTAATCTGAAGAAATCCAGTTCCTACGGTTCCTAAAGCAACTTATTTATTTACAAAAAGAAACGCGCACACACACACACACATCCCACTATTATCCAACTTATGTTCTATTTATACTTCTATATATTTGTAAACCAACTTATTTTCAGAAACAAACAAGACCCCATTGTTTGAAACCCTTCCTAACCAAATAATTACATGGGGATGGGTCAAAACCTTTTTTTTACCACGTGACCATCCGGGAAACTCACCATTCATAAACCATCCAGGTATCAGGGATTTGACTTGCTGTTAAATCCCCATGTTCGATCAACAAGATTTCCCTATAATGATATGCTGGTTGGTGGTTTGGAACAGTTGGATAGTTTTTTTCCAATATATATATATATATAATTATATAAGTATATATATGGTTATCCATATATATATATATATATGGGAATAATAATACCAAATGACTTTCATATTTTTCAGCGGGGTTGAAACCACCGACCAGAATGTATAGACCAACTTATTAGTTCTTTCCAAAATAGTTCACTTCACGATTTTCATATATTTGTACCTAACTTCCTAACTTCAATATTAATTATTATTTCCAACAACTGTCCAATAATACCGTTTGAGTACTGGGGTTTTGACTCATAGCCATATGGGAGTTGGTCAAAACCCGTGATTGTCAATTTTAGTGCGATGAACATCCATTTATAGCAGCTATTTTGGGATTCACTAGGCTAGGTACCAGGCTTTTGACTCCTGGCAATATGGAGGTTTCCCAAAATGCGGGTACCCCCAAGCATCATCCATTTTGCCATTGTAAACCATCCATTTTGGGGTACCCCTATTTATGGAAACCACCATATATTGAATGATTTCGTATATGAGTTCCTAAAGGAACCATTTTCCGGACGACACCGAGGCTCAGTCGCTTGTGCGCTTCGGCCCATGGAGGCTCTACGGCCTTTCGGAATGCCTTGCTGGCGTGCCTTGGAAACGCATTGTGAAGTGGTGAAAAAAAAAGCGGAGGGGGCTGGGGTGGACTGGTTGAAATCATGTGATCTTAATTTCTAAGGATTCAGATTTCGCTTTTTTTTTTGACTTTGCAATGTGTTGTGTGTATTTATTATGTGTATATATGAGCCGGGTCCCCGGAAACCCACACCGCCCCTCCCCCCTTCTCCCCCCGGGAGGCACAGCTTCCCGCTATTTACAGCATTTGGGATGCACAGCACTTGCACGTTATTGGCAGCAGTTGAGAACCACAACCTCGTCACTGGACCCTATCTAGCTCTATATTTCTACCCGTGCTGCCTATAGCATACCTCACACATGATTGACCTGTCATTGCATGCAGATTATATACTCAAAGCGTACCTATGCATACCTATATACACCTATATAACGTATAATATACCCCTCTATGACCTCTATGAGAATGAGAGGTGATATTTTTTTTGCGTCAGCTGTCTTTTTTCTGGGATCAATATATAATAATCAATAGTTGGGGCCATAATAATTAATGAGTACTTGGTAAGTAACTGCAATAACATACTGACATTTGTTGCACGTCCCGGGATTTGTACTGGCGACGGCATGCATGGTGCAGTCATAGGCAGCCTAACAGGCTCCACATTATGCCGATGAGTTAAGAACCTTCGGACAGCAAAACAGTATCCAGGAGTCCAGGAGAGGGTGTCCCGGCGTTTAAGAAACCGCAGCCCAGCATGTGTGTATCATCAAGTGGTCCAACTTGCCCTATTTTTACTTTTACCGGTTACAAGGGTAGGTATTAACCATCAAACATGGGTAGTTTGTGGCAATCTCACTCCGAGCTGATGTTTTGTAGCCTCAAATTGTGGGGTTGCATCGATCTCTTCAGAAACTATTCAGGAACTATCCTGCAGCATTTTATCCAAAGGTAAAAAAAACAACAACAACCATAAATCATGAATCTAAATGAACCTGAAGTCTTTTAAATTTGCTTTGGGACTTCAATAAGACAATAAAACTCAGAGAAATCTGCCGCCTGGGCAGCCGGCTTGAAGGAAGTGAACTTCTGGATTTACCAACAATTACAGACGTACGCCTTTTTCCCCGATATGAAATACACCATAATACACCCATTAAATCTGGTTTAGTGGTGGAAGTCACATCTACGACCGCTTTTCACTGGTGAATACGGCACATTCATGCATGTTCAGTGGTATATGTACTATGCATTACTATGCTCTGAATCAATTTGCATCTTGGGGGACAGTCATGGGGGTTTGTATCCCAGTCTTAAACAGAGACCGTTGATGGCGCTGAAAGTGGATCTGAATGAGACCCCTACCCCATGGTTCCTATGGTCGCGTGCATTAGACTTACCAACAGAAACCTCAGTATTGTGGCTGGTTGGTGGTTACTGGTTTGGAAATGTTTGGAACATTTTTTTATTTTCCCCAATAGTTGGGAAATCCAATTTGACTTTCATATTATTCAGGAGGGTAGGTATACCACCAATTAGGTGGTAAGGGTGTATAGGATGCTGTCTTTAAACATGTCATAGAAAATGATATGGTAGACCGTATTGCCCCCTATACCTAGCTGATTTACCTTAACAGGATGAAGGTAGGGATGACAAACCACACGCGCTATTCCTAAATAGATAGCTGAATGGTGATTTTCTATTGTACCAATACGATTCGTAGTAATGGATTTGATGGATAATTTCCGTTGATTCATGTTCATTCATGAGATTCAACCATACCTGGATTATTTTTTCTATAATGGATTTCAAATCCAATGATTTAGAATTTGTATATGGATTACAGTTTTTTGGTGATGTTTTTTAATTGTCCGCCATATTTGGGATCATGGTTCCCGGTTTCATATTCTTCAGGCAATCGAAACCACCAAGCAGATCTACGGATAAATCCTACAATGTGGGACCCCCAAACGATAGTTCGGTTGGTGAACAGAACTAGGTGAGTTCTATGTTTCACCATGGTTTATGGTGTGTGTATATTAAATATTATAACATTATATCACATGATGTAAGATGATGTAAGTATTCATGGGTCAAACTCCACCAAAAAACCGTGACTGGGGGCCCTCGAACATAGCCAAGCTCCCCAGGTTGCTGGACATTCTGCAATCAGCGCGAGACGATTTGGCTCAGGCGAAATCTCATGCAGCAGGCAGCTACTTATTGGTACCCTCTGGTAAACATACAAAAAGCTATTGAAAATGGCCATAGAAATAGTGGATTTACCCATGAAAAATGGTGATTTTCTATATGTGGCTGTTTACCAGAGGGTAACTAATGGTAATTCTCGATAAGTATTGCCTAATTAATGGTAGGTGTGCTGGGATTAGAAAAACATATGGAATTAAACCATGTTTTTTAAACAGCTGGTGCAGGATTTCTTGCGTCCACAATATCTGCAGGTTTAGTTACCCAGTCAGATATCCTTTCCTCCGCGAAGTCATGGTGACTGTTGGAATATGTCACCGTGGTAGTGGGCGAAAACCCCATTGCCGAATTTATTAACCATGGGGATGGGGCATCCAAAATGGCTGGAAACGTTGATTTACTATCCCTTGAATGTATACACAAGCCTGGATAGTCTACATATAGTCAATGGTTCATGATGATTCAGAATCCTTGAAGATGCTTTGGTTGAGGTCACAGGAACTGTTTTTGATACCATGTTTGCTCAATGATAGCTTCACAATTTTCAAAATTGGATAAAGGGATAAACTACGGGAAACGCCGACATTATTTGGGGGGCAAATACTAAAGACTTGATGTTTCCAATATATATTTTCTGTGATGTTCCCCCTAAGGTAAATGATAGAAAGTCACAATTTTAATAGCTAAAAGATGGAACTAGCCTCTGGCTATTTATCATAGCCATGGAAAATTGCACATTTGTAGATGTGGTTTGGTGATCTACCTATCAAAAATGGTGATTTTCCATAGCTACGTGGGGAATTTTCATTCCATCGCGAGGCAGATCGTTTGCTGGCGGTGGATATGGCAGAGTTGCTGGAGCAGAAGGTGCGATGAACAACGCGAAGCCACTGTATCTGCGGGTTGTCGACGGGTGGGTCATGTTTTTTTTCCTCCAAGCTTTCATCGTTCAGTTTTTGAGCAGGAAAAATGGACTGCCAAAGAAAAGCGATACTTCAATCGCCAGAAACGAGTAATGGATCGCAATGTGAGCCCCAAATGCCCCAAAACTCTTCATCTGGAGCAATGAATTGCGATCAGACAAATGAAACCATATGAAACCTCATGGTCCCATGGTTGCAAACTATGGGTTCCTCAGCATGCCTTGGACCCTGCAGCAGTTTGCAAGTTTGGAGGTCCTTGGACTCACAGGCTGCACAATTTGCCTGGTAGAAATGGTAGAAATGGGGATATACGCCCAAAATGGCAGTTTGACTAGGGAAAAGGATTGTTGTCCATTGGATTATGAGGTCCTCTATAAAATCATACAAACCCAAAAATAATCCCTCTTATCACATCTTGCAACTGGTTGGTTGTTTGGAACCACCTTTTTGTTTTTTCATATATATATATGGGAATATATACCAACTGACTAATATTTTTCAGAGGGGTAGGTTGAAACCACCAACCAGACATCATTGTACATCCACCCCAACAGTTGGACTTCCGTGCATCGTGAGGGCATTGAGGGGGATGCCAAGCTGAAATTGCCGGGGTCTTTTCGGAGCTGGGTATGGCATGGTTCCTGGAATTAGGAGCTGGCGGCTTGTAGCTTGGGGACTGCTATTACTGCGTCCGTTATAGGAACACCTAAATATACACGTATACACTTTTATCAAACTTTTACACACATGTATATATATATATATGTATACATATATTATATATATATACATACATATACATATACATATACATGCATCCTTAAGTATTAAGATTTTAGGCACACTAAGAATTTATGTGTTTATATTTGAGGTCCTGACGTATTTTTATTCGAGGGATCTTCCCAGCAGATGTGTGTGTGTGTGACTTATATGTTATGTGCCAACCATCAAACCTAATGCTGAACAAATTATTTCAGAATAATGATGTAGAAGAGGACCGCCCAATTTGTCATTGTGTGTCTTTGCACCAAACTACATATCCAGTGGTTGGTGTCAATCATGTTTTGTTACAACGGCATCGCAACGTAGGAGAACATAGTTTTTTTTTTTCGGCTGGCGGCGAAAAGGCTGGGAATGAAATGGGCTAGACCCCTGTACCCAAAACGAATATTTCCCTTCAATTCATGCACGGTGGGCCCAGTTATCAGATGGTTTTTATTCCCATTTAACTATGGTTATATCAACCAGAAACCATAGTTAATCTAGTTATGCCCCAACTAAGCTATTTATGCGGCCCCCCCATTTTTCATGTTCGTTGCCCATTTAGACATGATCACAGAGAAGACTTGTTCATAAGGAAATTTCAATAACATGCAATATCACATTGTTGGCAGTACATTCAGTCTATCCCATTCAATAAACGTACACCAAGCGTATCCATATAGAATCGTTGGTACCCATATCATATTATGATTTCCATGTATTTCCATCTGTAATCAACCTAAATTCTTAAATTGTTGCTTTAGCGGCGTCCGCGACGTATAAATCCCAACTTAGTGGCATCTCCAAAATAGTACGTTATATTTTTTTGGCTAGGGTTACCCTCCATTAAATTAACATAGACCCTGAAAATGACCAATTGATAGTGGAAACTAGGCTTCCAACCCCGACAAATTGGCAGGGTCTATGTGTTAATTTACTTGAGGGTCAATCCCGTGACACTGTCGCCCCTTGAACTCCTAGAATTTGGTGCGGTAATGAGTAACTGTTGGTGGTTTGGAACATGAAGTTTATGACTTTCCATTTAGTTGGGAATGTCATGAGCCTAACTGACTTTCACTCCATCATTTTTCAGAGGGGTAGGTTGAAACCACCAACCAGGTAATAATAATACCCCATTAATATGCCATATATATTCCCATTATATTGTATTCCCATTGATATCCAATTAATATCCTAGGACAAAGCCTAGGCAGCCATACCTTGGGGGTTCCTGCGGGCTCAAAATGGCTCAAACAATGTTGGTTGGAGAACACACGCGTTGAAGTTGCGAGTTGTCATGGTTTGTCATGGGTTCTCATCAAACTAAGCTGGTGATTTTCGATTGCCGAGTTTAATTATCGGGGGCCCCACATTGCAAAGGATCATCATGTTAGGCAGTATTTGGTTGAAAAACACCAATTGATTCACCATCATTAACCATTCTGAATAATGTTTTGTTCCAAAAAAAGACTGAAAGTTGTTCACAGTTGTTTGGGCTATATTTTCCAATTACTTATAAGTAAACCTGAAAGTTGTTCCAAAAAAAAGGGTAGTAAAACCGAAGTTTTTTAGGCTAATTTTCCCAGTTGAAACCAACACCATTGAGGTTAAACCTCTTCGAAGAGCTGCCACCGGTGCCCCCGTTGCCTCTGCAAGTGGACCATATGTCGCTGGGCGATCGCGACGGGCGGCTGGGCCCCTCTGGTACTTCAACATGGCTGGAAAATCATCGAAGCAAATGGGGGATTTCTCATTGCAACGTTTGATTGCGGGAGGGTACCCTCTGGTAAACTGCCACATAACTATGGAAAATCTCCATTTTTAATGGGAAAACTCACTATAAATGGCCATTTAAGTTGGTTCATAAACTGCAACGACATACTTCTAGAGTTCGTCAAGTTGGTTTCATAGATATATACTTCCAGTAGTAGATATCATAGTTGATTTTATATACTATACAACTACATATATAACTACATAACTATAGTTGATAGATAACTTAAATCGTTCATGGTAGATATAACTCTAGTCGTTGGGGTCCTCCGTTAAAAAAAACATCATGGACCTAAGGAATCCCGAGGAATTGGCGCTATGGGAAACTCTAGGGGTGTTTTTCTATTTTCTGGGGTTCCTAAAGAAAATTCACCAACTAAAATCATATTAGTTAATGTATGTTAATGTGTTTTTCTATTTTGTGTTTTTCTATTTGTGATAATCATAAGTTAATACTGAAATCAACTGACATAAACTATGACTATAGCTTATAACTATAGTCATAATCAACATTTATCTATGATTAACGGTGGATATGATTTGAGCAGCTATGGTATAACTAAAATGGGTTTGTAAATCAACATCAGGAAAACCATGGATTATTGCAAATGATTGTAGGTGGTTGTGGATTGTGGATAGCCATTGAGTGAGTATCATAAGGATAAGGGTTACGGTTATGACGAAGCTTAGGAATCAGAACAGGGCAATCATGTTGATTCGCCACTATAGATGACGTGCTTGTATGATTTCATTTTGTGGTTGGTATTCGTATGTATTGGTTGTATCTGAATGGATACCTGACTCTATGACATCTCAATGTTATGCCCATGTGAACCATTCAAGATACCCTTCTTGATCTTTTTTTTATCATTTACTATCTGGATTATTGGGGATTATGAACTATTAGGGAAACCGATCAACCAGTACTCGTATTTCATGAGATAGAACAAAAACATATAAACACATGGTATGTTTGATGGCTCCCTGGTACCTCACTTTATCACCTGGCCCCGTCCCAGGTTGGAGGATGGCAACCATTCCCCTGAGTCGGAGAAGGAAAAATCGGATAAACCCGAGGTGGGAGCTCAGGGAACGATGAGGCGAGCTAAGTTGATGATCATCAATCCAATACCCTCTGGTAAACTGCCACATAACGATGGAAAATCACCATGTTTAATGGAAAAAATCCACTATTTCTATGGTCATGTTCAATAGCTATGTAACAAATTACCAGAGGGTATCTGTAGGTCCTAATCGAACTTCAGGCGGGAACCTCGCCAGACATTTGGATGTTTGCTAGTTATAGCTGTGTTGGCTGGGTTTTTGTTCGAGTAGTACACCCTGTTTTGTATGATGTATAGAAAATACCACCAAATTTTCTCAAAAAGGTACAGTTGCTCGTCGAATTGTACTTTCTATCTTTTGGCGAGTTGCGAAAAATAGATACATTCTTGTCTAAGGAGATCCACCCCACCGTTAAACTGCGAGATTTCAGATCCGCGCAGGCTTGGGGTTGGGAAGTCCTGGCCTCAGATTTGGGTGGTTCTTGGCGATCCTTGACACTTGGGATCCACTTTTACTGATTTTCACTGCGTGTCTCAAAACATATTTAACAATTTAAAACAAACATCAACATTTAAGAACATAGTTTGATGACGAATTACTTATTTCCCAGAAACTTTGCATTCTCACCTCCACTACTTCATGAATGGAATCAGTATATATATATATATATGTATATATATGTTACATCATTAAGCGCCACCTCACATTTACGGTCCCTCGAAAAACACGCCCAAGTCTTGAATTTTCAGAATGGAGGCCATGGGCAAAAAAAAACCTGAACACAGATAGCCTCTGGTTATGACATTCACAGTTCGCCATGGTTAAGCCATGGCCCATAGACATAGATGGTTTACCGAACTTAATAGCATGGTGATTATCTTTCCATGGCGAACTGGCAATGTCATAACCAGATGGTAATTTTGGGATATTTTGGGTTTGCCATGAAGCTTGCTTAATCTCGTGGCCTGGCAATTGTATTGCTGGCTTGGTTTTTTTTTGAATACCACCGGAAAGCGAAATGGCAAATTTCATCATTTAGGGTTCCTGTGTGTTTCCCCTGAAGATCAGTTTCAAAATTCTAGCAATTGACGTCTAGAGATGGAAGTACCATCATTTGAATTCAAACCTATTTAGGCATATATAGGTTTTCCACTGTTTCCCGTCTATTTTCTGTTTGCGCATGGAAAACTTCTGCATATCACTGCTACCATTTAAAAAGAACCTCCTGTGACATAGATGTGGAAAAGCACCCATGTGTAGTAGATCATTTCCTGGGTTTCCCCCTTTGTTTTTCACATCCTGAAGTTACTTTAGCTCAGGGTCCATACTGAAACGAGGCCTTAAATAAATATCCACAGGGAGGAGCTTGGAATGGTTTTTCAAGTTGCCGAGTTGTCTTTTTTGGTGATATAGAATCCTATCTAACTATAGTTGTATCTACCACAAACATCCATAAACCATAGATTTCACCTAGTTATTTGCACCAAGTTAGCTATGGGGTCCTTCTTTGTCGGAACGATATATCCAGTATCAAGGAAATCCAGAAGGCCCGCACCCCAATGACATGTCATCTTCCGCAGTTTCTTGGTGTTTTTATTCTATCCAGTGGTTAGGAGGAAGCAATTCGGAGCTATAGTTATCTATAGTTATCTATTTTCCCTATTAAATGAGAGTGCCTAGGAGCTACTAGGAGTTTCCCCACCACCTGATAGTCCTTGCTAGGTCAATTTGTTTGTAGTATGTTCATTCTTTCCCCATTACTTATAGATAATTGTCTCAGATAATGATAATGATAATAAACAGTAATGAAAAATAAATAATAGTAATAATAAACCATAAAAAATAACAATAATGATTCATGATAATATATAGTACTATTTATACATATATATATATATATTATTTATTATTATTATCATTATTATTATCCCTGTTTTTTGGTTGATTGAACCCCTATAATCACCATTAATGATAATAATATCCCTATAATTCCACATCTAAAATGATGGCAAGGTTCTCTGGGTTGTTTCTGTTCCAGCGGCAGGTTCTTCTGGCTCCACGAAGGCGCTGTTCTCAGAATTTCTTCGCGCTGGGGGTGGTGAGAAATGGTAGCGACCATCCGACAACGTTGGCGCTTAAAAAAAGGGTATATCATGGAGATATGATGGGGAAATGGTGATTAATGGTGATTTAATGGTGGTTTAATCGGATTTCATGGTGATTATAGGGGTTCAATCAACCAAAAAACAGGGATGTGAGTGGATATACCCTCTGGTAAACGTTTACATAGCTATGGAAAATCACCATTTTTAAGTTCGGGAAATCACCTATAAATGGGCAATTTTCCATGGCTATGTTAAATTACCAGAGGGTAGTTGTTTACCCAGGGCTTGTTGGAAGAAAATTTATAGGAAAACCCTATATTCGATAGTAAAAAAACATGGCTTCCTGTAGATTTTCCCTTCAACAAATCCAATGACCAATGGAATCAACAGCAACAGTTTCTGATCAATGGTAATTTCAGGATCCTAAAATGGAGGTACTGTACCATATTTCAGGCCATATTTTGTGGGGATATTCCCTGAAATTTAGGCCTTATATAGGCCTTATGTATGGTAGGTACCTCCAATTTAGGTTCCTGAAATGGCCATTGACCAGGATTAGTTGTTGAGTTTTTTCCCAAATAAATATAGAGGTTTCCTGTATGTTTCTTTCCATAATCCAATTCTAGGGGAGAAATGGCTCTTCAAACATCAAACATTGTGACTTGACCATGGAAACTCGGAGTTTTAAACCATGAACATGTGCGGTTCAGTTGAAGGAGAAAGTATTTAAAAGTTTAATCCCAAGAACATGTGCACCAAGAAATGGCTAAAACCTTTACCTTTCAGCAGCTTCTGGGGTTGATTTGAGTTCACCACAACTCACCGGTTCCATGGTGGGACCACGGCACCAAAAAGAGCTGGGCTGAATGTGAGTTTAACATCGTTTAACCGTGTGGCTATGCCAAAATGAGAAGTTGATGGTTAAAATTAACCATGACTGGGACTGGTGGTGACTGGAACCATGGAATTCTGAATGACTTTCCAGAAACAGTTGGGAATAATAATCCCAACTGACGAACTCATATTTTTCAGAGGGGTGGGTATACCACCAACCAGATGACATCATTGTGGGAAATGCTTAATTATCATGGTTTTGTATGAAAATGTGTTTTCGTTCGAATAATGATGATTAAATAATGCTGTGTACGGAAGAAATCCTACACCACTTGGCAACTATTGGTAACTATGAAACTCTGTAAATACTGGGATTGTAACGGGATAAACCATTTACCAACTGGCGCAGGATTTCTTCCATCCACAGTGTTAAATCCCCGACACTCGATCGTTGCCATCTACCACTGGGAGTTGGTTGAAGCCCCCAGTTATGCTTGTTGGTTTCGGTTTCAAAACCCCAAGGAATACTGTATATATGAATACGATACTGTGAGATGTAAGTATATCTGCCACAAACCATAGAATTCTCCCACTTGTGTTCACCAACTTAGCCATCATAAATCAGCTATAAATCCCATGAAGTTAAATCCCGATTTTCCTGGTTAAATCCCTATTTTCCTATGGTTTTGCTGGCCCCACATTGGTAGAACGGGTTGAACATTCCAGCTCCAAACCAGCTCAGATGGATCCTTCGGAACCTCTGTCTGTGGCGGCGGCGACACTCCTGGTGCCCACCGTTGGGTGACCTGGGACCTGGGACCTGGGGTGACATGGGGGAGTTCAAAACGCTGGAGAATCATGGTGTTGATATAATCTGCTTGGTGGTGACTGGAACATAGGGAATGATATGGTTACTAATAGGGGATATATGGTGATAATATGGTGATAATATCGTGATGATATGGTGATGATATGGTGATAATATGGTGATGATATGGTGATAATATGGTGATGATATGATGAAAAATGGAATAATCATGATATATCCTGGTTGGTGGTGACTGGAACCATGGATTTTATGACTTTCCATTCAGTTGGTAATGTCATAAACCCAACTGACTAATATGTTTATATATTTTTCAGAGGGATGGCATATTTTTTCAGGTTCTTACCTATATATGTTTTTTAGTGGTAAGAATATATGTTTTTTTTACAGGTTGGTGGTTTGGAATATTTCCAGTGACTTTATGACTTTCCATATATATATATATTGGGAATAGTAATTAACCCCAACTGACGAACTCATATTTTTTCAGAGGGATAGTTATACCACCAACCAGAATAGGTGATTTCATCATGTACAGCCTTGATTATGGTAACTAAACAGCCTGGTGAGTGGACATAAACGAAGGTTATTATAAGCATGATTATCCATGATTTATTATAACCCAAGTTGGTTAATGGACATTATAACCCACCTAAAAAAAAGTGTTTTCAAGTGAGACGTAAAAAATGGTACCACCCTAACTCAACAGCCGTAGGGGTTCTTCATCCAGGGTGGACCTTCAACCAACTGGGACAACTCTTGAGTGTTTCTGTTCCTTTTTTCAGGGTTGGGTCAAGTGATTGGGGTGAAACAATAGGCCCACATGTTTTGCAATTTCACTATGAAACCCTGGCATTTTTGGAGATCATTTGGACCCCTAGCCATGAATCATACATGTACTGGAATTATCTTTTTCTGGTGGTCAATCCAGAGAGTCAAAGCTGGCGAAAACCATGTAAAAGGTGAAGTTTATGTCGAAAATTTAAGCAAACCAATGCCGGAGATGTTTTTGTCCAAAAAGATGTATATTTAACGCATGTGAATAGTGGAAATCAGCAAGAGTAAAACTGATGTTTCCAAGGATTTCCTCATGAATAGACCTTCCGAATCGCCGATCCCAAGAGGAGAGTAACCCCATCGACACAAATTGGCAGGGCCGACATGTTGGTCGACATGTTGCCAGATCAACATGTTGGTGAACTTAGATCTATTTATATCTCAGTATTGTTGGGTTTATCCCATTAAAATCTCCATGGGATATATATATATATGTTATTTATATAAAATCTCTATTTAATTGGGATTATATATATATATGTATCATTATTTATCGCGTTACATCACATAATATCCCAATTAAAATCCTATACTGTTTGGTGGTTTGGAACATGTTTTTTTATTTATCAATAATTTCAATATATTGGGATTTTCATCATCCCAACTGACTTTCACTAACTCATATTTTTCAGAGGGGTAGGTTGAAACCATCAACCAGTATAAAATCCCCATGAAAAATCCCATGTTTTAATCTCCACACAATCCTCGATATCCCATGAAATCTCAGGAAAGCCCATGAAACCCGGTGGCACCCAGGTCTCTGAATGTTTTCCGCTGGATGGATCTGACTCTCTAGGTGCGGGAGCTGCGGCTGCCGTGTCTGTTGTTAGCATGATGTTTGGGTTAATTGCAGCATATAGATGTATATAGATTTATATATATAATTATTATGTAATATTATACATATACATTAATCTAAATTAAATACATTGATATACAATATTATTCTTTATATACATATATATACATATGAAACTATTGAGACATGATGGCCGGTCAATAGCTTTTAGGTGGGGGCTTGAGTCAAGCGGAAGTAAACCTCCAAAGTCCTTTGGACAAAGCCAGATTCGTGATGGACGGTTGATTCGAACTTCGAAGCCTCAATCAGTTTCGTGGTATGTTGCACTTTTGGAGGCCGGAACATATAGATTTTGGAAGGTCATTTTTAGTATGATCTACCCCACAAGATATTGTTAAAGTACAATGACCTTGTCGTGGTAACATGTCTTGGCACCGGACTGCTACCTCCCTTTTAAATCTTCGCTGGGGACTGTTGCTTTGTGCCGCAAGGATATCTGTGTTTTTTTGTTGTTTCTCTCGTGTTGTTTTTACCCATGGTCACCCCCAAGAAAATTGTCCAGCCATTTCTACCAATCAATTCACAATCCTCTGGTTTGTTCATCAAATCACAATTATGCTGCTGGAAAATTTCATACTAGACCCCATTCCCATCTACCCTCTGGTAAACTAACATAGCTGTTGAAAATGGCTATTTAGTTCGTTGATTTACCCATTAATAGCATGGTGATTTTCCATAGCTATGTAAACGTTTACCAGAGGGTATATCCACTAACATCCCTGTTTTTTGTTGATTGAACCTCTATAATCACCATTAAATACCATTAAACCAACTAAACCTACTGCTTCGCTTATTCATTTGATGCAGGTCGGGCATTGCTCGAGCGTTTGTTGGAAGTGCATAGGACCGCGGGACACCCGTTTGGTGGGAAAGGATTGTTGGACTGTCATTGTGCGCCTCATAACCACGTCTTCAACATAAGATAAACAGATCAAAATGATTGTAAGATATTGTAAGATAATCCACAGTCTGAAAGGTGAATTGGTAAAGATTTTATCCTTTTGATATTCCACTATTAAAGATGAACAGCCTGTACTATAGCCATGAAGGTTTTGGGTGTGGCCTCTGTAAAGTCTACTGCCATGGCATGCCATGGGGCCAACCAACCAAACCTGAAGCGAAATTGCACTGCTGAGTGGCTTCAATCCCCGTTTGGATTATCCTGGGTGGAAGATCTGCGATTTTTTGCACTGATGAAGTGTCTGCCTCTAGAGTTTGAGCTCATTTGCATCCAAAAAAGCACCAGCAGCACTGGAATTTGCCACTGTGCTGTAAACCGCTGGTGTCAACAAACATTCTATATGTTGCGACGACATACGCCATGCTTCGGGGTCCCCACTCTTTGCAGCTTTATCATGATTGCCGTTTGCAGATATCATATTCTCACTGTGAAGGCGGAACTTCCTCTAAATAGAAATGCCGGAAACGGGAAAAGAAGGAGGGGTTCCCGAGGCCCCTCGCGTTATGACCACTCCGGAAGAGATCATCCATAAAGAACGTCTCATTGCATTCGGAAGCGAAGAAGAACTTTGAGGATTTTCACCATATCCCATAGGATCCATGTATGGTATATATGGTAACATTTACCATCAATATACCCCCAATGTTAGTATATATATACCATATATGGATCCTATGGGCTATATAAGAAGTCCTCCATTTCGGTCCCTTTTCATGACCTTCGGGGAGGGCTCTCTGGGCCTTTGTGTTTGGACACGAAAAGTTCCTCGCATGTAGTCATCCTGAAATAGGAGCAGTCTGACAAGTTCCATTTTCATCCGTGGAATTTATAGGAACCCCCAGTGACGCTACGCCTCCCAGTGACGCTACGCCTCCCACAATCTTCCTTTTTTCGGATGGGTCTCTTATATCTCTTATGGGGGACCCAATCATTGAATGAATTCCACTATGTCAAGATGAAAATGCCCCAGCTGGCCCCAGCTTTTGGAAATGTTTGTCCTGCTGCTTGGGGTTCCGCAAACTCCATTGGCTGATTACCATCTCTTAAATTCAATGGTCTCAACTTGGGCTCATTGGTGGTTTGGAACATGTTTTTTTCATATATTGGGACATATTGGGAATAATAATCCCAACTGACTAATATTTTTCAGAGGGGTAGGGATACCACCAACCAGTGGGGTATATGGTGTTCCCCTCACCATTGGCTGCAGGATATAGAATCTACTGCTCAGTAGGGGTCCAGGATACCCCCAACATCCAGTAGAGCTGGCCCTCGAGGTCATCCAACGGTTTTCTGGTGGCTTTTTAAGATTGAAACAATCCAATAGATGGTAATAAAACCGAACAAAAAACCCAGGTTTCTTTTGGTTAGATTCTCAATAGACGGCAATAAAACCAGATAAAACCATAGAAAAAACCCAGGTTTCTTTTAGTTTAAAAGTTCAACTTCATATTTTCCATGTTCCAGATTTGGATCATGGGCAACTCTGCAGGAAAGCACAATTTTTTTTGATGAACGTCATGGTTTCCTGTGAAGATTTTACCATCAAGACCAATGATAATGTAGCTTATTCCCTTGACATTCCAATGTTTTCATTATCCCAATTGTATCCCAATTGTATCCCTATCCATCCCTATAGATTTACTATAAATCCTATAGTCCTATACTATTTCTGTTCTTGTTGGTTAAACCTCCAATTTTCAGGTTGCTCCAATTCATTATGAGTAAATGATCGCCAGAAGAGGAATTCGCCACCGGTACCTGGGGTGGCCAGGGAGCAACTTCCAAAATTTGGGATGCAACATGAGGGTTTCCTAAAATGAGGGAATTGCCCAGTTATCAATGTTTATCATCCATGTATATCCATGTTTTCTTGGGATTTTCCATGAAATATCATGAAATAAATCATCCAGTAAACTCACATAGCTATGGAAAACCACCATTTTTGGTAAATCAACCATAAATAGCTCATGGCTTCGCTATGTTATATAGATATATATATAGTTTACTGGAGCGTAAATCATCCAGCTATTGGGGTATCTCCATTGATGGAAAGCCCACGTCCGCCAAGTACGAAGAAAGGACATGTGCTCCGGGAAGCGCACACCGCGCGGCGCTGACGCTTCGCCGCGCGGCGTTAAAGATCGGGTTCTGATGGGGAGACACATGGCTCATTGGGGTATACCGGTCCCTATATTCATAGTGAAAATGATGATTCACCAGTGGAATGGCTTGCCATAGTGAAAATGATGATTCACTAGTGGAATGGCTTGCCCTATGTTCAGACAAACCCACGTGGATGCACCAACATATCCCATGTGTTTAATGATATATATATATATACATACTGGTTGGTGGTTTCAAACATTTTTTATTTTCCAGAATACATGGGATGGGATAATCCTTCACATTGACTTTCATATTTGTCAAGATGGTTAAACGGTTAAAGCACCAACCAGTATAGAAATCATTGGATTTGGGTGTGAAAGGATGTTTTGGAGAAGGCCATGTTTGGGTGGACATGCTTGGTTTACTTGGGGTTATGAATCAACCACCAGCCAGTAGAAGGGGAACATGTGGAGGTGCTGTTTGGTGGTCAAAATGTCACTTGCCTGGTCGTGCAATAGCCAGAAAGCACCCAAGAAAAGTCAGGTGTGCACAGGAAATAGAAGAACATACTGTGGATGGAAGAAGTCCTGCACCAGTTCGTAACTATTGGCAACTATAAAACACTGTAAATTATGGGATGATAAGGGGATTCACCATCTACAAACTGGTGCAGGATTTCTCCATCCGCAGTATGATGGTTGGCTGGGAGACAGTCATGCTGAGTCCGTTGTGCGTGGCCCCCACGAAATTGAGGCTTTGCACATGGGAATTGTGGAAGTCATCCCAAACAATCAACATTATTTCAAGTTGGTAAAACTTCTGGTTGGTGGTTTGGAACATGAATTTTATGTTTCCATATATTGGGAACAATAATCCAAATTGACTTTCATATTTTTCAGAGGGGTAGGTATACCACCAACCAGATTTGATTTTGGCCAGACCAAACTCTACCGGTCTTTGTCGCTCGAAACTTCACCGCGATTCAGATGTCCGCAGTTTTTACCCTCTGGTAAACGTTTACATAACTATGGAACATCACAATTTGCAATGGGTAAATCAACTATACATGGCCATTTTCAATAGCTATGTAACAATTTACCAGAGGGTATCCAAGGTGCCAAATCAAGGTTTCCATCCATTTTTCATCCGGAATCGATGCGCAGGTTCCGTGAGAACAGTTTCAGCTTCTGTTTCTCGTAACTTTCACCCGAACATAAGAAGTGGCTTGTCCTGCCATTCAGAAAGCGACCAATGAACCCAAAAAAATACTAACTCCTGGGCTACCCCAGCAGAATTCAAAGAAAACATGGGGTTGTAACCCCCTACTCTTCAGTGTCTTGACTGCCAGTTGCAACATGGCATTCCGAACGGGTAAATTCTGAGCATATGTTATTCTTTTTAGCCATAACCTTGAATTGTAAGTTGTAACAGCCAATTAGTGTGAAACTTTTATTGCTACATTGCTACATTTCTAGTTGCTATTGCATCCTTGTATACCACTACGGCCGAAATTTTAGGGAATATCCCCAAAAAATATGGCCTTATATGGATTTGCATGGTATAGTACCTAATTTTTAGGTACCTGAATGGGCCATTGATCATTGGTCTGGGTAAATTATAATGACCTCACATCGCGACCGAAGCCTGGAATGGTGGTGAATGTAAAGGGGAATGATCCCGATATCGCCGAACTTTTCAGGTTAGCTTCCGCAGACTTGATTTGAATTTACCCAGATAGCCGATCATTATATTTGTATACTTTAGCTGGATTCAGATCATCAGGAAATATAACCCATATATAGCCTATATATAGCCCAAGCATTATACTTAATTTACCCATAGATTGATGCAGATTTTCCGGTGAAAG